CCATGGACAACGGTAAGCCATTTTTCTTTACCCCCAATTATGTATCAATATTTTAATTACCGACAGGCATGATGGAGTGAGAAGTAGATATCTGCAGAATGTCGAAGGTGTGATGCCGTCTCTCAAACAATCAATTCCTTTATGACTCGTTCATTCGTTTCGATGGTAAATTGGTAACTGGCACAAGCCCGTTGTCACCTGAAAGGGAAAGTCACCGATAACTTTACTAGCGAGAGCTTGCTGTTGATTCTTGCTACCACACGGCTACTTCCGAGTCTCCTTCTTGCGATGAGGATATATGAAGAAAGTTTTGACTTTTAAGTTCTGGTTTTATAGCTATCTAAAGTGGCATTTTCATATTTACGTTTACTATTACTGTACTACAAAAACGACACTGAAGACCCTTGACAACTATGCGCCGGACATAGCTATGCTAAATCCTTTTGACCAGCGCTAACCGATTTCAGCATTTGCTTGCTATACCTTATCGTCTCAAAATAAATTAAAAATCCGTTCTGTCTTGCAAGTAACACTGATGTACAACTTTGCCGGTGGCCAATCCCTGCGCATTCCGCATCAACTATACCGTGATTAAGATTGTTATTATCATTTTGATCGATTCATTCCTAAGAATGCTGGAACTAATATCATCGCTGCCAATCATCGTCTGGAAAACATTAATCATTACCGTTATTGTAGGTTTTTCCGAATTTTGGCCCGCTTGGTATAACAAATCCAAAGGCAGTTGTTACGGAAAATCGACGTGGATTTATAAACTCCAGTACGTTTGTTGCATATCCAATCGGGAAGGCAGACTGGTCGAAGAATATTAGTGCAAAGCCGACTTTTTTAAATTATTCATCGACGGTCCGGGCCATTTCATCGGCACGTTTAACAACGGATTGGTACGAAGAATGCTGGGAAAACCTCATCGGACAGGTTGAGCTTACTTTTTCTAAGAACTTATTTCTTTGTTATAAAAACTGTAACAAACGTTTGGAAGAACGTGTCCTTCATGCATCCACCAAAGGAAAAGTGCGTTTTTTCCGTTTTGAGTTCTCAGTAAACACCCAGCAGAAAAGGCCATTTAGGAAATTACGAAGCTTGTGACGACGGATTTGGTGATGACAATTGCTTCTATCCTGGTCATCG